GCAAGTTTCTCACGTTAACCCTATTTTGTTCGTGTAATACTAAACTGACGTGTTCTCAAGCCCCTTGGATGTGAAAATAACTTGAGAAGTTCACTCTCAAGCTGGCAGAAAACATGGCTTCTTGTTGGCACCAGAGCTGCTCAGAGGTATGAGGTTGGTGAATAGTGAAAACTAACTGATAAACACAGCTCACTTACATTTTAGGATATTTGGTTTTACTTAGGACAATACTGAAATTGTTTTCGAATTGTGAAGAGCGTTTCTTGAGAATGCCTGTTTTATCAACAATTACAACTGATGAAATTTGAATTCTGGATAATATTCAAAGTCCATGAGATGATACAAGATTTAGGCACATAAGAGAAATGAATTTTAGGATTACTGTTGTTGCAATAGTCTATTGAATAGAACATAAAAATTTATAAACAGGAAGTTAAAATGAACACCCAAGCAAACTCTAGGCAAGATACTCTCTGAAAATCTTTCTCATTGCTTGAATTACACACACATAAAATATATTTTTGTTCTTGTCTAAAAAACTACCATCTGTATCTCTTCTACACAATCCAAGAATTAAGAGAGCTAAATGTTTTATATGTCGTATAACTTATATAAAGCTATTATGAAATTTTTTGGAATTTCTGTTTGTGCTAATAAACTTTTAACTAAACATCATTGCTTCTTTAATATATTATTATATATACATGACAAAGGTGAAAAAAGATACACATAAGCATGTTTATTTTAAATTTGGGGAATAGAAGGAAAACAGCAATTAATACTAAATTTTGTAGGCTCTCTATGCATTTAACAACCCCATAGTCCAAATACTGTTTTTCCTTTCAAAATAATTTTATAAAAACAGCTGCTATGTAGAAGATAGAAATGAACATTAGTCACTCTGTAATACAAATGTCCTACAGAGATCAGGTGAAATCCTCCTTTGTATATCTTCCTACTATTCCTTTTTTTTTTTTTTTTCTGAGATGGAGTTTCACTCTTGTTGCCCAGGCTGGAGTGCAATGGCGCGATCTCAGCTCACCACAACCTCTGCCTACTCGGTTCAAGCAATTCTCCTGCCTCAGTCTCCCGAGTAGCTGGGACTACAGGCATGTGCCACCATGCCCAGCTAATTTTTGTATTTTTAGTAGAGACGGGGTTTCACCATGTTGACCAGGATAGTCTCGATCTCTTGACCTCGTGAGCCACCTGCCTCGGCCTCCCAAAGTGCTGGGATTATAGGCGTGAGACACCGCGCCTGGCCCTTTCTGTTCTTATAGTGCCTGGTACATTACATGAGAGAGAGGAGGCACTCAATCTACATCTTCACCTTGATTCACAAAAACAAAGCTGCTTCTAGAAGCTATTTCCACATAATTCTCAGATATAGTAAGTTCAATACTACCAAAGCAAGACCTCTTCTGAGTTTAGTTAATCAAACTCTACCTCTGAAACTTTGTAATGATATCTGACTGGGTTAGGTAAGGACTTCCCTCAGCCCCTTATCATTCTTCAGTTCTTTAAAATTGCTACCGTAGTGTGTATGGAAGCATAATGGCAAAAATACAAGAATGCTCTGATCTCAGAAAATAATATATTTTAAGTCCTACTTTCCACCTGAGTAAAGACCTTTATTTTTCCTGGAGAAATTTACTTTGATTTTTCAAATGTTTAAAGTTGCTTGATAATTTAAGGTCAAAGTCACATTTCTAAATATGCCTGAAGGGGTTTAGCACTTAAACTAGCTAGCTCTATTCTGTGACATAGTCCAAACAAGATGAAGGATTAACTTAGTTGTGGGGGATATTTTTTTTGTTTGTTTCCTTTCTATTTGCATCATCTACAAACTACAAACTAGCTAATAACTGAAGTGTTTGCTATTTTTTAATCTTTCTTGCTGAAAAGGTATTTTTAAATGAATCTATTATGCTATTAAAATACATGCCCATTCTTATATAAGTCACAGCATAATTATAGTTTTGTATAATTAGAGTTTTATGTCAAAAGATTTACAGCTTTATCACCTCAAGCAATATTTCACAGCTGCCAAGGATGATTTATGCAATAATGACTTAAACTGTAAAATAGAATCCTCAAAGGAAGAGCTGTCAAATATTCCTACCGCAAATAACTGGTTTTTAAAAATGGATATTCTGATAAACAGCAAGTTTAATTGTACCTAGCACAATCACATACAGGAGCGTAGTAGAAAGTGTTATTTCAAAATGACAATCATGCCATTCACCATGAACTGCATCAATGTGAATTCATTGCATAGATCACGGGTTTAAATTGCTTATAAAGCCTCTGGGCCACTTTAGTGAACAAGCTTTCCAAAATAATGCCTCAGTGATATCTTTACTCCTCCAGTAAGAGCAAATGGAAGAAATGGAAACAGAATGTATCAATGTTCTGTTGATTTGCTCATTGGGCTTATTACATCATTCTTCACATTCTTGTGAAATGCTAAATAAAGAATAAGCCAAAGAAGGATTTACTGTATACAGTTAAGAAATCAAGAAACTCTCAAAAGTCGTGGCATCAATAACAAAGAATTAAGGAAACTGAGAAACAAATCAACAAAAATGTTGGTGATTTTCCCCCTTCCTGCTTTTATAAACGTAGCGTAGCTGGCAGTAGTCTTATCTGTAAGCGGTAAGACTATCCAAGAATTTGTACCTCATAAGCGCTAACTGATTTTGTGTTTGTCATATAAATAATCTCAAGACACAGTGAAAATTCTATTCAAGGTATTTAAACTAGTAGCTAAAACACAAATTTATTACATGCAAAGCAAATAAGTATGTCTGTGTCTTCACTATCTAAAAAAGTCATTCAAATTAATATTTTTATTTGGAAGAATAGAAAATGCTTGGTCCATCAGCTCATATTTTCCATATCAATTAAAGCAAAACGGGTAGATTTTATTGTTAATGCTAAAGATACTCAAGTCCTTCGAGATTGAGTTACATCTGAAAATGAAGTCAACAGAATCAAAATTTTTACCAAAGATTAATTTTTCAGACCTAAACAAGCTTCCAAACCAAAATCCTTTACTGAAAAAGAGGCGTTTTAATTCATATAACCAAGAAAATCATTCAAACAAAAAGATTTGCATTTGTCAATATACTAACATGTTTACTACAGAAGATTCAACAATTTAAGAGGGATTAATCATGTTTGTGACTCCTATTAAATTGCTATTTTAAGGTGTTTTGAGATCATTTTACACACCCCCATTGCACAACTTTCAAAACATCATCATACCACTTATGGTATAATAGATAACTGCTACTTGAAAACACTCTGAAAGATATACCTAATATCTGAGCATTTTGGGCAATCCAGATTAATGTCATACTTAAATTCTATGAGTTGTAAAAAACCATGAAATGGTCTAGAAAACATAATGACCAAAGATGGACCAACACACACTCAAGTTGCCACAATATAGACTGTTGACATCATAATGAATATTCAATAAGAAAAAAAATCAGACATTCAAACTATTTCAAACATCCAGATTGTTGGCATCAGATACTCAAAAGACATGAGTTGCATTTGGGTAGTGAGAGCTCAATCCAACAAATGTTTTCAAGACAACAGAGCAATTAGGCTGTTTCTAGTATGCTGACACTACTGATAGAAAAGTAAGAGAAATGTGGGAAGAACTTTAAAAACAATTTCTATCTTTTTAATAACTATACAATTGCTTTTATTACAGATGACTACAAAGTTGTACAAACCGGTTTTTCCAGTAATGTTTTGTAACCACTCAAGTTCATTAAGGAAAATGTTGTAATTAAGAATTGTACGTTGTACTTTGAATTACAAGAAAATTAGAGTAAGAGTTAAACATTTTCCTTGCTGTCTTTTTTTCTCTGTAGTTTACGAAATGATGAGTCATTATATGATATAAGCTATGGCACATTACATATTTATTAAAAACTTAAGAGTTTTCTAAAACTCTGAACAGTTACCCCTCTGCCTTTCTAATTTCTGATAGTGGGATAAAAAGAAATAGGTGATGATAAAATATCAACAAAATTAACTATAACATGAAAGTTTTAAAAATATTTTTACCTTTAAGCCCTAAATTGTCAAATGTCATTATAGATATACATATAGATATTTGGGAATATATATACCTTAAAATGGGCATATCTGAGCATTTATACATGTGGGTTCATTTACATATATATTGTGTATTTAAGACATGCCTATATATTACATGTGTAATTTTTTAAGAGAGCTATTATGTCTAACTCTTATTGCTCTCATAGCAAGTTTGACAGAAGGAGGTGTTGCCCTTGAAGTTGAGGTATGACCTTAGGTTTAAGGTGCCAGTTTTGCTGTAGTTATAAAAATGAATACTAATAACTCTACAGTATCATAATTTTTTTCTACATTTCTTATTTTAAAACAAATTATGACTACATAACAGCCTTTATTATTTGAATATGCACAGGTTAATAGGATAAATGTAAAAGTTCCTATTTATTATCCTTAATCTTACATAAAGAGGAGCAAAAGAAACAAGAGGTGTTGCCTTTCAACTAAATCTAAAGAGCCAAGAGACATAACTAATAGTTTTAGATACAGTTTTCAACATGAATTTGCTTTGTGGAGTATTTTAAAGTTAAAACAAATAACACTGTATTTTTCACCTACCAAATGCATACCAATACAAGCAGTAAATTGTTGATCTTTCTATAATACTGTAAAGAAAGGAGTATCTAAGACTGATTGGTAGCATTTTAACCTTAGTGACATCATGTTATTTTACTTTTGAACAATTCATGGTATCCTTATTCAAAGAAGAAGTTGTTTCTACCAGACCCCTCATCAGAGTACCCATATATGTTGGATCCCCAAATACTACAAGCAAAGCACATATCTGCAATTGAACATTTTGGGATTCTCTGCATATGAACTTCTAATAGTCAAAATATCTTTTCAATGGGATCAAATGGAAAGAATTCTAAATAGATAAATTTTACCGTTTTTGTGATAGTAGGTGACCTCCACTTTCCTTTCTTCTGACCCCAGTAATGCCTGGGCAATTTGGGCAATATCATGCCTCTTGGTCTCGGGGCCATGGAGAAAGTCGCAGGTGCATGGCTTTTGCATGACATCTGGCCTGGAGAAACCAGTCATCTCACAGAACCCATCGTTGCAATAGATGATGGCACAGTTCTGCACTCTGGCATTTGCAATGATAAATTTTTTATCTGTAATAGGGAAATAGTATGGCATGTTTTAAAAAGCTTCCACAATATTCTCTGTAACACTGAAGCAATTTGTTGCATAATGAGTCTAAAATGCAGGTGCACCCAAATTACTAATTGCCCCAGCCTTTATAAAAAAGAAAACACAAGAAACCCTGCAAAATTTAAATGTGAGATTAATTATCCTAAATAATTTTAACAGAAAATATTAAGAAACCACTCTTCAAACTGCAAGAATAGAATTTCCCAAATAGTCTAGTTCTCAAGCCCTGCAACTGCTGGGGATCCTAGTGGACACTCAGACAAGCAGCTGCCCATTGATATTTTCAGAATGTTATTTAATTGTAAGGTAAATGTTTTCAAAGTCAAACAGTGAAACATTCTGTAGTTGTCAGACCTCTCATTTCAACCTTGGCCCTTTGAATACAACTTTCTTAAAGTAGTTATTATTCTTTGGCTTCTCTCTATCTCTCTTGGGCATGTCACACACATCATGTTAAAAACAAAGACAACTAGCTTTATTAATGAAACTACTTCACATTTAATATCAGTTCAATAATGCAAAGGTTCACCTTTTCATAATATATATTTTCTGAAAGAAAAATATTTACATACACAGAGTAAATATCATGATAACATCTTTTACTTTTACTTTGGGAGATCCTTGATTTTGTGTGTGTGTAGTAGGCATTTTAATACAAATAGCTTATTAATTTTGATCACAGATTGTATTTACTATTTCCAGATAGATGGTGAAGCAAGATATACAAGTTTATTTTATATGCAAGGTACCAGATCCTCACATCTCTAAATACAGTGCTGAAATAACCGCAAAATGTATGGCATACAAATGCATTAATAGAGTTTTAAGAAAAGGACAAAAATAAGTTTACAAATACAGGATCTTAAATTAATATATTTGTATACCAACAATTTATTCCCTGTAATTAGTCCAACATGAGAACATTAAATTTCTGTGCATTCAGTCTTTGTGGGATTTACTTATTACACTTCATTTTTAAATTTCTAGATGGAAATTTTAAAGGGGATTAAAAAATAATAGGAATGTTATTTTGAATAATGAGCTATTTGCATCGGGAACCACCACAGATGAGATACTGCTTTTCCAAATTATCCTGCTGAGGATATATTTGCATTGATTCAATACAAAATTTAGCTTCTATAAACTAATAGCAAGCAAGCATCCCTGTCATACCACTGCCTTGCAGTTTAACCAAGGTAAAATAGAGTTTGCATAGCCATTTACATTGCTACTACCATTTACATTATCTTGTTGGAATAGTATGGTCTGCTCTGCTTCCGACTTTCAGAAAGTCTACAGTAAAACAGCCTCAAAATATAAACCCATGTTAACCTAGCACGTTCCCTTTAAGATAGTAGAATAGTAGGGCATTAAGTAGCAAGGCAGATAATGGAGCAGTGGTAGAGGAGGATCAAATTGCCTCCTATAATGGAGACCGTAATCTAAAATGTAAATCAAAATTAATATCAGAAGGAGAACACTCCCGCTGCCATTCGAACCTCCTGGCTCGGTTTCACAGCCTCTTAACTTGACAGAGCCTGGAGTTGCCGGTCTCCCCAGCTTGGAAGCGGCGGACGCCAACTGCACTATCAAAGCAGAAAGCGAGGGCGAGAGAAGAGAACAAATGAACTTACTTTGCCCTTCAAATTTCCGAATGATGGTCCCCAGAAATGTATTTTGTGGTGCCACATGCCCCCTGCGCACAGGCATGTTGGCCCCGGTCTTCCGAGGAGCGCTCCCCCGGAGCTCTGGAGTTCTCCCGGGATCTCTCCTCGGCTAGAGCCCAGGCCAGCGCGCGAGCCGCTCTTTGTGGCGGAGCATCCTCTTTTGAAACCAGAATTCTCTTCCCATTAGCACCACTTCTAGACACCCGCTTTCCCCACTGGAGTCCAATCCATTCCCCTCACCTTCCGGAGGGGGCCTCGCACCGGACTGCCGCGGGTGAGAGGGTTTGGGGGTGGGGAGCGGGAAGGAGGCGGGGTGAGGGGAGGTGGCGGGGGAGGGAAAGAGGGAGGGAGCGGTGGGGGTGGGGTGGGAAGGGGGCGGGGAGTCACAAGGGCAATCGATCTGTTTCTCTTCTCCCAAACGGCGCCAATTTCTCAGTGCAAATGGGCTTAACCTGGCGGTTGCCCAGAGCAGCAGTGAGGATGGCTGAGAGGGGATGGAAGACTTGTGCAGCTTTTGCAGGAAGGAGAGAGAGAAAAGGAGACTGGGGGTCGGGGAGGGTGGGTTGACGTTTCTATCCCCGCCCTCTCCCCTTAACACACACACACACACACACACACACACAAACACACACGCTCCCTTTATCCCGACAGCTTGGGCGCCGCCACAGCTCGGATTACTCAAGCATGCTTTAACGGAAGCCAGCCAAGAAATCTCCAAAACTCAGTGACAAACAGCTACTCGGGGAAGGTGATCTCTACAGCCAGCAGCCACAGGGCTGAGCTCCTCACGCCGCAGTAGCTAAACGACCCTTAGCTGCAAGGAAAAAACAGGTGGGAAAACAGTTCCTTAATGAGGATTATTTGTAAGCTCTGTTGGCGCTCAGCAGGTTGAAGATTGAGAATGAACCATCTAAGGGTGTAGATTTAGCCTCAGGGCGCAGCTCGGATCCCTGGGTTTAGCGGAGGTGGCTGCTGAAGCCCGAACTGAATTGGCACGCGGGTCCCTGCCCAGCGCTGAGCCGCGCCTGGAAAGACTGAAAGCTGCCCGCGCCGCTGAGCATGCCCAGTTTCTGCCTGAGTCCCTGGAGGGTTGCAAGGTTGGGGGTTGATTTGGTCTCCAGGTGCCGTAGGCTGCGAGAAAGATGAGACGGCCAAAGATGAGAAGGCCAAAGACTGCGAGCGACTAGTACAAAACAAGGAAGGAGTTTGAAATAGGTGAGGCTGGGCGCCAGGGAGAACGAACAAAAGGTGGGTGGGGCTAAGAGTTACCAGCCTTGCTGCGACCTCCGATGCCACTCATCTCCGGAACCCACTAGCCACATTCTGCCCTCCTCCACCATCTCTAAAGAATCATCTCGTATAGGATAAGAAAGGGTTCAAATGGCAGAATAGAGTCCACTTCCTTCTCACTTCTTAAAGGCTGTCAGCGTGGGAATCTCAGGGTATAGACTCTTCTGTTCAAACAGCACTCCTGGAGACTTAGGAAAACAAATGTGACAATCCATGCCAGAAAAGCTGATTTTGAAATTGTTTTTCTAGTTTTTCTTGCTTCTTTTCCTTTTATTTTTGTTTTCTCCCCCGTCCCCTTAACCTGGTAGCCCCTCTCCACGTCCTTTTCTCTAGATGGAATTCGCTACGACTTCAATCTACTCAAGCAGAACACAGACGAAACTCTCATTTCCTGCAGGAGATAAGGGTCCAGAGATTCCTGTCAACACGTGCAGTTGCATGATAGAATTTGAGGGGGGTTGGGGTGGGCTGCTTCTTGTAGCTCATAAGCCTGCTATGCCTGTACCTTGAGTCAGCTGGGTTCTAATTTTCTCAGTTACAGCTTAAAATCTGAAGTAAATAATGAGTGTGGAACGGAGAGGGGCCGAGAAGCAGGTTTAGTTTAGGAAGATGAATCAGGTGGATTACAATAACCAGGAATTAAGCATAACAACTTTTATGTTCCAAAACCACAACCCTCCCAATCTAAACAAAAACAAGAACCAAATTAATTTCTCCTGTTTCATATCAGAGTAATGCAAATGAATCAAACGGAATACGTTCCTACGAATGTTGAATTTTATGGCCAATAAGGTTTACTTTAAAAATAAGCTACTTATGACAACCTCTAGGCTCTTATAGTAGTTTGAGCTTTCCTGAATCCTTACAGTTGCCTCTGTGGGAATATAAAAAGCCATACATTACTAGTGTATGGTTTTGTTTTCTGCATATATATATATATATATATATATATGTTGATCATTCTGTCATACTGTTCGCTAGCGGCAGCTGAGCTTGGGAGACAAGAGTTTCTCTCCCAGGTGCTAAACGTGTGGAGCTATCCATGGTTCTGAATCCGACTCTGCCGTTGGCAACTGTTCTCTGCCTACAATCAGCCACGGAAAATAGAACTACAAACTCAGGCAAGTGGCCCTGATGTATCCATACACACCACTTTTCTTCACCAAATCCCCAGAGAAATACAGAGTGCTTTTTACATCCATTTCTAAAACAGATTTCTTCTCTCTTAAGCATCTTAACCCAAGTCCACCTTTCTTCCAAAATGCATCAAGAACTCCAGAAAAAACTGAAGAAATTGCACATTGTGTAGATTGTGATTAAAGTTTCATGCATAAAGTTGTATTTTAATTAAGAGTTTATAGCATAATAATATAACGATAAGTTAGGCAAAGGTAAGATAGCTAAACTTTTTTAAAACTACACATAAATTCAGTGAATGAATAGATTTATAGAAAGAGGTATCTCCAAATACAGCAGGAAACACAAAGTTTATCTGTCACATAACAACGTATATTGACATGCAGAAGGTAACTGTGTATAATGTCTCTAATTATAAGTCTAAAACTAACTTTCATAGGATATTGAATCTGGAAACCCTTGAATTCCACTTTTCTTCTTCAAGAGAAAAAGTCGCTTTATGCTTCCTGAAGTATTGTCTCTTTCTCTACAACTTTCAGAGTGGTCTCTGTTTGCTTGGGTTGGTTAACTAAATATGTGATGGTTAAAGCTCTATTGTCTGTTACAAGTGTGTGAGCTCTGTGGGCTTCACACATTTCCCAATTTCATTTAAGTCCAAGATTAGTTCTATTAAGGATTCGTTGTAAGATCACAGAACATTTTATAACCTATGTATTATAATTGATTGATCTGAGCAGCAGATTAAATGCATCCTGCTTCTAAATCACCCCAGTAATCATGTTTATATAGTATACATTGAAACAATGGAGACAAGTGCATTAATCTATATTCGGCCAATAACAGAATCAAACCAGTGGATGGTAATCATAACTGCTTGCTGGCTGGAATATTATCTCCACCACACCACTCTTTACAAAAGCTAATGTTACATTTTGTGTTGAGACCCAGTTTCATAAGCTTTTAGTACTTTTGGACCCTTTTGGAAGTCCAAATATTAAACGAAGCACATAAATTCAACTGTTGAAATCCTATAATGTACACAGCTTAACACTCAATACAATCTATTTATAGGCAAGAATGCAGAATAGATTGATATATTCTTAAAATTACCTAATTATCCATATTACTTTAAAATTAAATCATTTACTATTTATGTAAGTAAAATACTTTAAATGTCTACAACATAATAACAGCTCAATAAATTTTACACACACAAAATTCTGCCTAAAACCTCACAGAATTAATAAAACTCTGCTTAAAAAAACATTAGAAATAATTCAAGCAGCATGTTATTGCAACTGTCATTATGAGATGTTTAAGTGACAGTCATATATTGGTAGAGAATGAAAACTTTTTAATATTAAATTAGGTAATGTGATTTGTTTCACATTTTAACAATGCTGCAGAATATAAATCAATGAAATTAATGTAAAGTTTTCTCAATTTAGCAAAACTAGCTTAATCTGCTGATTATAGTGTATATTTTAGTTTTTCTTATTTTATTTATTTTTTTTTCTATAGACTGAGTCTAGTTCTGTTGTCCAGGCTGGAGTGCAGTGGCATAATATAGCTCATTACAGCCTCACACCCCTTGGTGACAAAGTGATCCTCCCACCTCAGCCTCCTGAGTAGCTGAGACTATAGGTACAGACCACTGTGCCAGCTAATGTTTTAAAACTTTTTTTTTTTTTTTTTTTTTTTTTTTTTTTTTTTTTTTTTTTGGTAGAGATGGAATCCTGCTTTGTTGCATAGGCTGGTCTCAAACTCCTGGATTCAAATGATCTATCCCTTTTGGTCTCTCAAAATGCTGGGACTATAGGCATGAACCATTATACCAGGCCTAATGCAACATTTTAATGGTTATTTTAACGTAGCTTTGTGTGAGGATCCTGGGTATTATTCTACTAACTGGGTCACATTTAACTGAAGAAACGTCTGACTTTACAGTTATAAGTCAGGAAAATTTCAGCTTACATTATTATAATGTAGTCTTAAAATCTCAGAAGAGGCAGAGATTTTGAGGCCGTTTATCAAAACCATAACATTTCTGAGCAGGATAGAATAGTGGCAAGTGTAAGAAAGAAACATTGTTCTAACTTAAGATGACCATTTTTAGGAGAAAATGATGAAAGTAGTTCAGCTATTTTGCTCATAGCTTTATTTCTAAAATCGGTATAACGATTCCCAACATTCAATTTTATGTGAAGTAGGAAAATAGATATACAGAGATTAGGACAAAATCTGGCACATAGTGAATATTTAAGTAACAGTTATCCTCTGATGTAAATATGCTACATTTTCAAAATCAGTAAATAATATTTAAATTAACATGTAGTATTTAACTAATTTAGATTAAGGGTGTCCCAGTGTTTTGTGGGGGAGGGAGGATGAGAATAAGGTATAAAATGGAATTGGTGAATCATGCTCATCCAGGCAACATGAACTAATACCAGTGACTAATACCAATGACTGTTCCTAACATATTAATATAATTACATGTAGTTAGAAAATTGAATATCACTTTAGAAAGTTTAGACACCTTTCTTATTACATACTATACATATTAGTTTTAGTCCAATTGTTATTAGTCACTTTATCTCAGATACTTTGTGACAACATATTTCACATGTAAATTTTTATCCAAATGTGTAAGATTTGGCTAATCTTATTGATGACATGAGAATCTTACTAGAATAATAAATTATTCCCTGCAAAGAATAAGTTATTGGCAATCCTTTTCCTAAAATATGAATATTTCTGCAGAAAATAGTCTGTCCATATGTGTGTTAATATCATACATTCATCTATAATTGACATATAGGATAGCTAGGAACCCAACAAAACTATTATATTTTATGAAAAGAA